CACACTTCTGCAGGAACACTACCAGTGCACTGCCAGTTCCAATGACAAAATTTTTCTAAAGCCACTTTTCCTGAAATGTTGTTCATTAAAACAAAAAATGTGCATAAAGTCTACAGAAGGGTTGTCCAAGACAAAAAACGCACTCTTTTTAAATGCTGTGTCATTAACCACTCCAAAAAATGTTATCATTTTCTTAGTATAATAAATTATAAGGAAATAAGAATATTGTCATTTTTGTGTAAATGTTTTTGAAATATATGGATATTAGAAACAGTTTTAAAGACCAAAAGGTCATTAAATGCAAGAGAAAACAATATTTAAACTGTAAAATTAAGATGTGCGGTGCACGGCAATTTCTTGACTTGTTAAAATAGCATTGACATATATTTTTTCTTGCTTTATTAGTTTACATGGAAATCATTAGAACCTTTTATAATTAAATGAGCTTATTCTAGTTAAGTGTGAAAAAAAGCAATTATGAAGTATCTATCTCTCATGGTTCAAAAGTTAAGGCGAAGGTTAAAGTTGTTACAACAGACATAACAAACAGTTCTGACAGGACAGAGAGAGAGAGAGAGATACCAACAAATATTTGTAACACTGCTGAAATATTGTTGTAAATCTATCCAATTATTGAACACACGAATCTGATTTCTGTCAAATTCTTAAAAAAAACCGTCAGTTGTAAAGATGTCTAAGTCATATAATTGATTGAGGATATCAGTAAGACATTCAGTCATATTTTCTCGAAAGTGCGCAATGGCGTTCCTATTGCTGAGTTTGTTGGAGAGAACTTTGAGAATGCCGACAGGAACCACGAACAGGCTCGCAGTGATTGCCACCGGAAACCACAGAGGAATTGACAACTCTATACCAATTTTCTCACCTGGTAAATAAAAAAGACAGATGTTACCTTCCAAACAAATTTCTTCATATACTTTGATACAGAATACAATTGCTTAAAAAGGATTTCACTTCCATATAAAGAAACCACTAAGATTATGAATACATGACAAACTTTAAAATAATGTTTGCTTGCCCTTACCTGAGTCAGGATGAAAAATGTAAGTACATGTAGGTAGGTAGGTTGGACATGTTTTGTTTACTGACTGATATCTTTTTAAATTCAATGCTGAGTTTTCAAAATGTAATTTGCAGAAAACCTAAGATATACGTGCAGTCGTGTCTTTGAGGTCAATTCTTTTTTTGAGTCAGGCCATTTTAAGCCAGTCGACAGGAAGAGGGCAACCAAACACCTGGCATCTACACTTTAGCAGACTTTGGGGAACTTTTTATTTCACTGATTTGACAAAAAGTATTCATCGAGTTCAGTTTTGTATCACTTATGGAGTCTATATTCTCTTTACCTTTGGTAAATAACCGATTGTCTCCCTCGCCTCCCAGATCTAATGAATGGTTATCTATGGCTGCCACCGGTGCTTGTGCACTCCCCCACGACGTGGCAGATTTTGAAGAACAAACACTTTCACCTGCATGAGTCTGTTAATTCCTGTTCAATGTTCCGCTCAAGTGACCGAAAACTACCGAGTGCTCTTAATTTCACTTTATCGCATGCATTCTCTACATCATTCTTTTCCCGCCATTCAGTTATTTCTTCATTTATTATTTCCTGTAGTAAATCTACAGAAAAGTTCATTAGGTTTTCGTATGTTTTCGGTTTAAAAACCGCTATTTTCTGTTCTAATTCTGCTTTGCATTCCTTTATGATTTTACTGCATGTTTCATCTGTCCGTAAATGATGGTGTAATCCCAAAGATAAGTTTGTGTATGTTTCAGTAACATCCCTGCAGTACTTTATTTTTGGCTGAAATGATAGAAATATACTTAATTCAGAGGAACATATACAACCATAATTAAAAAAAACTAATACTGTCGGTCAGTTTTACGAACATGTCAGCAATACAGTCAATCAAGTCGAGAATCACTGAATTTTTCCTACGACATGTAATTGATACATGTATACCATTACAGATTAATTTTTCTAAGAATTCTTGCCTGTGCCCGATCATGACAAGGAACAATGGCCATATATAATCATTCGACAGAACGACGCTTACTCCTCCATATGATCCCACCCCTGATTTTTTTTTTTGTTAAAGTCTCCATTGATTCTGCTTGATGGCCGATCCAAATTTTACATAGGAAGCTATAGGGAAAATCTTTAAAAATCTTCTTCTCAAGAACACCTGGGTCAATTTAATGAATGTGCAGTGGACCGAATTTTCTATTCGCCCAGGTGTTGTCGTTAGAGCACGCAGTGTACGCTTATGGTTGGCCGTTCTACTCACAATTATTTATTTTTACTCCACTTAAATTATTTTTACTGCAGTATAGTAAAACACCGGCCATTGCTACTCACAATTAAATATTTTTACTCCAGTAAAATTATTTTACTTCAGTAAAATAATTTTTACTCCAGTAAAAATCATTCACTTCTTTACCGGAGTAAAAATACAATGTGGCCATTTAACGCACAATTAATTAATTTTACTCCTGTAAAAAAGTTTTTACTGCAGTAAAAATATGACACTGGCCATTTCTACTCACAATTAAATATTTTCACTTCATTGAAAATCAACCAATCACAGTCCATGTTAGATATTAAGTGACTCATAGTTCAACGGGGAAAATTGCCCAGGTTGTTTACACATGACATTTAGAAACTATAGTGGATAGAGTTTGCACATTTATAATATACGACATGACATACATAGGCGTCTGAACTGGGGGATGGGGTGGGGGTACGGGGGTGGGGCTTAGCCCCCGCCCCTTTTTTGAAAATGTATCATACATAATATAGGCATTAAATTGGGGTTTACCTTTTTTGTTGGTTTAGTCTCCCCCCTTTCAATTAGCCCCCCCCCCCCATCCCTTTCAATTTGCTTCCGACGCCTATGACAGAGAATATAACTGCAAAAGGACTACTGTACGGATTTGCCGATATACAGTATACTGTATAATCTTTTCAAAACATAATATATGAAGAGTATAGAAAACATGTAGTGATACTATAGTAAAGATCACTTAAACGTAAGATATGGAGATAACGAACAGTATTCAGTCTCAAAGTCCAAAAAACAACACAAAACAAGAGAAGAGCAAACACGGACCCCCGAAATATCAGAGGTGGGATCAGGTGCCATGGGGGAGTGAGCATCCCCTGCCGACCGGTCACACCCGCCTTGTGTTCCTTGTTATGATCAGGAAATAACGGAAAAAATCCGTAGTCAATTCAGTGTATAAATAATGGACTAACATTTGGTATGAAAAACGTCAGTCAGCATATGACCCAATGATAAATTGTATTTGCTGACAAGGTCATTGTATCGACCATAGAACTTACGAAATGATGACTTTAAACGAGCCTTTTTTCCGCTTGTCAAGTAATTTCTGGTCGTTGATAGTGCCCCCAACTTAAAATATTTGGTTGTGCCAACAGTAGTAGCACTATGTATATAGTTTAAGAAGTTTTTCTCGTGCAATTATAGACGAATCATAGCATGATAAAGTTTCTATGATAAACATATAGAGACAGTTCCGCATTTTTTTTTTTTTTGATATCATAACTTTGGTTTTCTAACTCAATGTCCGAAGTGCCAAGTAAATCTATTCATTTTAAATACTTTCAAAAATTGTTAGCTAGTACCAAAATAGAAATAACCGCCAATACTGTTTAAGCTTATTTGTAACAAACTTGGTTATTGGTTGATTTATACTTAAGTAAAAATATTTAATTGTGAGTAGCGATGACCAGTGTTATATTTCTACTGCAGAAAAAATAATTAATTTTTGCGTTAGATGGAAAATGTTTTATTTTTACTGCAGTAAAATTAATTAATTGTGAGTAACGTGTCCAAAAAGTATTCATACTTCAGTGAGAAATGAAATTATTTCTACTGGAGTAAAAGTATTAAATGCAATAGCAATGGCCAGTGTTTTATTTATACTGCAGTAAAAATAATTTCAGTGGAGTAAAAATAAATAATTGTGAGTAGAACGGCCAACCATATACGCTCGCTGCGCTTGCTATAATTATTCATTTCATTTTCTCAAAATATTATTCAGTTGTTAGTTGATAGCAATTAGTTGGTGTATCTCAGTACCGGGGGTATTTAAATCGACATCTATATTTATCTCCAACCAGGAAGTAAATTACAGTTCTCGTTTAGGTCTCACCTAGATTGTCGTCACAACATTCCAAAGCGAGTCTGTCAACGAAGTAATTTGTAGGTGATTCAGAGAAAAAAACTGTAAGTGAAATAATTTAATGCTTAAATTTATTAATTATGATTTGTTGATATACGGATGCGTCGGTTTAAAAGAAAACGGAACATACACCTGCATACCTTTACAGATTATTACAACCCCGCCCTTTGAAAAAGAAAGCTATAAAATAGAATCGATTTCACTGTCTGGCTGTCCGTCTAATGTCAAACAATATGCCACTATTTTTTTCTGTTTTTCTGCCCGTTTCACTTGTTTTGAATTCCGACATTTTCCTTTTATTGCTGGCAGAGGTGATTTATTGGTATGTGAGTGGACATGTGTAGGAATTCAATAGATATAGATCAAGTCTCTGTTTGTTTCTGCTTTGAATTCATTGGCAGGAAAGAGGTTAAATTTGTGTTCAATCCCTAACTTTCTAACATAAAAATATATACTTTCACACAAATACCATGCACTTAAACCTGAAATGTCATACTTTTTGGATGCATTTTTCTTTTGGAGGGGGGGGGGGGGGGCAACACCAGAGTATCTAGATTTTGAGTTAGTTTGCTTGATGAAAAAAAAATCTGATTATTTACATGCGATGAATGAAAATATGCAATTTCAAAAAGACAAATATGTAACTGTTGTCTAGAAAAAAATAATATTGTTAACATGAAATAATGCATAATATTGAAAATATGTTCTTCTATCAATGAGGGTATGTAGTGCCTATTTTCTTATAATTTTTGACAATTAATTATCTTTTATAGATGGCATTATCAAAAATGAACATTCCTCCCAGAGCCCAACATTTTTTAGAATGTGACATTGAAGAATGTGAAAGAAACTGTGAATTCTATTGTAACAATTGCCACTTAAGATTATGCAAACAATGCGAAGGTGAACATCTGAAAAATCTAAAAAATAAAACTCATGAGGTTGTCGGTTACCAGCAACGCAAAAGACAACTTCCTATGGAGAGATGTGAGATCCATCCCACTAAAAATATGGACATGCTCTGTGAAGAATGTCAAGTTCCAGTATGTTCCAAATGTGTCACACAAAGAGAACATCGGGGACATTTATTTACTGATCTGGAGATAATTTATTCGGAAAAATACGCAGTCTTTCAAGAAGAAATATCTAAAATCCATGAGTACTTCCTCCCTACATCAGAAAATTTAAAGAAAGAAATTAAAATAGATTCATCAAAAATCAAACACATTTTGGACGACCTCAGAACATCCATGAAGACTGAAGGTGAGTCCCTGAAAAGTATGGTGGATACAGTGGTATCTGAGAATATGAAGCAAATAGACCAGATAGAGCATTCACTGTTCGAAGCTCTAAACACCCAAGACGAAACCATGGATGATTACATTTCTTATCTTATAAACCTTGTCAAAGAGCTTCGCAGTAGCTTATCCTCTACAGAACCCCAAAAATTAATGTCGGAGAAGAAACCAAAGATCCAATCCATACCAGAGACAACAAAACCAGTCACACCCGTATTTACTGCTGGTCAATACAGCAAAGGCGATGTTGCCAAAATGCTAGGTAAAATATATATTCCCAAAACCAAAACAGAAAATAGAGAAAAAAGGCCCATTGAAAGTGTCTTCAATGTAAGAATGAAACTTACACATAGACAGATGAATAAAGACGAAGAGAAAATTGACAACATACAAACATTTTCACTATCTGCCTCTGTCACCAAAATCAGAGAGTTTAATGTACCAGGTGTTGATAATGTACGGCATATTTCACTGGATCATTCCGAAAAACTCTGGTTCAGTGACGAGTATGGTAATCTTGTCCAAACAGATCTGCAGGGGAATGAGATACAGAAGATAAAAACCAGTAGTGAGCACGATGGTTACCACACAGTGACATGGGAGGGGGATCTACTCTTTACAGACCAAAGCAATGAAGTCATCAATAGGATAACACAGGATAATAATATATGTGAATTCATTGACACTGGAGACTGGAAACCAATCAGTATACACTCCTCTCATATCAATGGGGACTTACTGGTAGGGATGAGGGCAGGTAGAGAGGGTAAAGTCACCAGGTTCAACAAGACAGGAAAAGAATTACAAAACATACAGTGGGATGATAAAGGACAGAAACTGTACGGGGCACTTCACTTCATCACAGAAAACGTCAATGGAGATATCTGTGCATCAAATCGCAGTAGGTCAGTAGTGGTAGTGAATAAATCAGGAAAACACAGGTTCTCCTACACAGGTCAGGAATCAACGTTTAGTCCAAGGGGAATCTGTACTGATGTCCTCGGACATATTTTGGTGGTTGATAGATATAATAAAAGTAATACAATCCACCTACTTGATGAGGACGGTCATTTCTTGACTCATATACTCGCACAACAACAATATTCTGTGTGTCCCCGTAGTGTGTGTGTGGATGATGAAAACAATCTTTACGTGGGACATCTAGGCAACACAGTGAGAGTGTACAAGTATCTGCAGTAATAATTATTTAGTCATAAGTTGTGTAAAGTATTCATGAAGGCATTTAATTATACAGTTATGGAATGGGTATGAGGGAAATAGCAAATTTATGGTTCGAAGGGAGAAGAAACTATTTCCCGAGGACCCATGCCATTAATTCCATAACCATTTTATTGTATCGAAACATTCATCGTTTAAATTTACATTTCTACTATTCGAGCTTTTGCTCAGGAAAATAGAGTTACATGACAGAACTAAGGCCGATCATGTTTTTCGGACTGAAAAAGGTTAAATATCTTCCAATATGTGTATTTAATATGTATATAAAGTGTTTATTTCTTGGAGTTAGTGGTGAAGATTGTTGGATTTTGATTCTCTAAGCTCACATTTTGCAACTGGATATTTGTACAAGCATGAATAGAAACAAGAGTCGCACTGAGCAGAACACACTCGTAGAAGGACGTACTTTCTCTGTACTTAGTATTACAAATAACATATTCACATCTGAATTGGTCAGCACTGTGCATTCACTCTCTAGTCTATACACTAGCCTCCTGAAAATAACGGATTCACTTAGGACAATCAGATCAGAATGAGATCAAGAAACTTATGGGAAGAAGGTGTGTTTGATAACAGAATCCAGGTGAAATCCCAGCAACAAGCAGATAGAAATGAGCTTCAGCAACTGAGACATGAGAACAGGTCCCTCAGAGAAGATGTAAACATGCTAAAATGCATCGTGATTAATTTGGAGAAAACATTAATTACTATCAAAACGAAATAATCGATCTCAAATCTAGATCTATAAACAATATTTTGATTCATAATCTCCCTGAAGAAGATAGCGAAGATCTTTTTGTCAAAATCTCAGAATCAAGACGCATATTAAAGTAGAAACATCTTTTGCAAATATTGACATAAACGGTCTTGAAATACAAGGAAAGTCAAGAACCATCACGAGGAGACTCAACAAATTTACGGATAAGGACTTAATTCTTACAGGCTCAGAGGGATATCATAAATCAACGTGCAGAACAAGCAGAGAAAACAGAATTTTTCCGGTCAACATAAGTCAACTTTCTTCATTGCACCACAAACTCCAATCGAAAACAGAAAGAAACTATTAGAATTGAAAAGTAAATACTGGAAAGCTAACGTCAAGAAACGTATTATCGGAGAGAAACTTGTATTTCCAAACGGAAGTATACATAGAGATAAGTTAAAAAAAAAAACCCCAAAAGCTGACCAAATCCTTGGAATGGATCAATCAGACAAGAGAAGCACTGAAGAAGATCAAAGTGACGGAGCTGGAAACTAATGAAAAACGAGCATCTTCCGGGGGACTGGGGGAACAACGGAATGCTACAACCAAGAAATGTACAAGAAAACATTATGTGATCAATCCCATACCGAAGCTGACCACATTTTTTTTTATATGATATGATTCATCCACCTCTTCCCTTATATTTAATTCATTATTATTTTATAGAGGGGTTCTTGTTAGGCAGTGATAATAATACTACACTGCATTATTCATACTCCTTTTGTTCACATAGTAGATACTAGTATTGTGTATTAAGCTCTTCCTAATATTATACACCTATTATTTACCTAATTTGTATCACTCAATTTTACTGTTGATTTTACGCAATCACGTGACGTCGAGATCCGACCTTTCGGATCACCACACTGTGGTTTTCTGAATCCATGCATATCACCACTCTCTGAAACTGATGACGTAGTACGCAGAAATATGACGTTATTTTTCTTGCGCGTTAAAAAGTCCTTTGTTTTGATGCTTTATTTGTTGGATAAATATTATACCATTGATCTCTAAAGCTAAAGGATTAATTTAATATATTTAGCCAATTATAAGGGGGTATATAATAAATTTATCATTATAACAGTAAGTTGATCCGAAGAGCCGCATCACGTCTCGTTGACAGACGCGGATCATCAGATTTGTTGGATAAATATTATACCATTGATCTCTAAAGCTAAAGGATTAATTTAATATATTCAATGTATTTATATGATAGCAACACCATGTTATGCAAACTTAAGTACGGCTCCGTGTAAAAATCATGCAGAGGGTGATTTTTGGGGGGTTTCAGAATTTTTTCAAACTTTGCATGTTGGTAGAGTATGCTAAGATACTCCAAAAAATTATAATTTTTTTTAAATTCTGCCATTGGTATCCATGGCAACCGATAAACTATTTTGGGCGGCAAAAAATGACTGACATTTCCTCTAAAAACAGGGAAAAATGCCAATAATGAAGATTAAATGAAAAGAAAAATAAACAATAAAACACATTTATGTTTTTTTCTTATTAAAATACAGCATAAGTAGTTACCATCCATATCTAGTCAAAATATTTTTATGACCAGTAATGTGTTCTAATTTTAAGCTAAAAAGGGGAGATAATCCATATTGGCAAAAAATGTAAAATATCCATTTTTGAGGATTTTTATCAAAAATTTCTAAAAACCCTACAGCCAAACTAAAAAGCCATGCTAGTTTCATAGAGACTATAGTCGAAAGCCAATAAAATTATTAAAACATTTTTGTGCAAATGATTATTAATTTCCCAAAACAACTGATGAATTTTGTACAAAAATGGTAATTTCACTTTTTTTGTCACAGTCAAATATATGCCATATATGTTTGCATTTAAAAAATAAATAGCATTTCAAAACCATTTTTTTATATTTCCATTTTCAAATACAAATAAATTATTTACTTTTCATAATTAATCCAAATATTACCACATCCAGTAATAGTTTAAAACTTTAAGCTGAAAAGGGGAGATAATCCATGTCGAGAAAAACTGAAATTTTCAATTTTAAAAGGATTTACACTTAAATTCCGCTATATGATAAAAAAATTTAAAGAAAAAATACACTTCAGTCAAACAGAAAGGCACCATACCTTATGGCAAATAAAATATTAAAAACATTTTTGAGCAAATGATTATTAATTTCCAAAAGCCATTGAAGAGTTTCATACAAAAAATGGGAAATTCACTTTTTCGTCACGGTCGAATAAATGTCTTGTATATATTTATGCATGTTAAAACAAAAATAGCATTTCAAAACAATTTCTTTATAGTTCCAAATCCAAATACAACACAATTATTTATTTTCATTAATCAAATTATATCTATGTACAGTATTATTTCTAATATCAAGCTGAAAAGGGAAGATAATTCATGTTGACAAAAAACAACAAAATATCATTTTTGAGGATTTCAGTTATCAAGAAAATAATATATATCTATGATTTAAAAAACAGCCAAACAAAAAGGCTGAGTAGGTTTCACAGATACCATACCCTATGGAAATTTAAAAACAAAAAATTATTTGCACAAAAATCATTGTGATTAATAATTTCACCCAAAAAAGAAGTAGCATCATCTTTTGTCAGAGTCCAACATATACACCATGTACACACGCCAGTACATGTTTACATGTAAGAATATCAGTTTACATTTCAAAATAAATTCATTTACATTTCCAAATTCAAATATAACATAAATTATTTTTTTCATTAATGAACAGTAAAATGTTGTAAAAAACATTTGAAAATATTAAGCATATTAATATTGATTACTAGATACATTTATCATATAATCATTGTATATGTAAACACAATTTTAAAAGATTTACATCTTTGTAAGGTGCAGTCATGCCACTCAGAATGTCACTAATCTCCCCTGCTTCTTTTCTGTGGTAAGTGACTGTCCTTTGTTTATTAGCCTCTTCTAAAAGCACTTAAGATCCTTGGGAAGAGAATTGCTGCCTGATTAACATTATCCAAAGTACTGTCATGGAATTTATTGAACTCTGATCTTTGCCTTTTGACAGCTTTAAATATTTTATTTTCCATTATTCCTAAAATAATAATTACAATGTACATGTATTTATCATTCATCAATTTAGAACTCTTTAGTTTATGCTACATTATTATTAAGGTACTAAATGGTTATTTTTATTTTATAAATTACTTTACATGGAATATAAAGTTTATACAATGCAGTAATTTCATTAAAAATCTAAAATGGTTGCATGACATATATTCTCCCACCTTTGGTGTCTTATTAGTTGGTGGTGTTCCAGATGTTTTCTTGCTGTCTGTAATAAATAGTGTAACCTTTTCCTTCAAAACCATGATGCAGCCCATCGTGTACATTCTGTGAAAATAAATTGGGGTATAAAACAAAGTTATAACAAAGTCACCGGGACCTATGAAATTACTTCGCTACATCCGTTCCTCGTTATATCCATTTAATGCAATTTGTTAAATTCATATAGCTGAGAATCTAAAATAACTTCGCTATATCCGTGAATTCGCTATATCCGATTTATAGTAAACGAGTTTTGCTGTATGTGAAATATCTTTTCTACTAGTGTATTTTTCATCATTTGCAATATATCTCTTAACTTTAGTACAATTTAAACAGCGTTATAAACTTGAATCTACTCTACTTGAGGCTTCTTCAAATGACTTCCATATCAGTACAATATTAATCATGGCTTTGTTGTTCTAGGGAAGATTCTCCCCTATATACAGAGTGTATTGCAATGTGAAACTTTGATCCCCATTGTGGCCCCATCCTACCCAAAGGGGGTTTAACTTAACCAATTTATTTATACACTACATCACCAGAGAATGCTTCCATATCATCACTTTGTTTTCTATCTATTTTTTAAGATCCATGTGCGCCTTGGTTTTGAATCCCAATGACAAAAGCGCTTTAATTTTCATTCAAAAGTCATGACCAAGGTCAAGTTTTTGAAAAGTTTGTCATGTCCAGTCAGGTGTCAAATCTGTAATCTGTTACAAATCTGTTTGCCTGTGACAAAATCTGTGCATCTCAGGCGGCTGAGCAACAGCTATTTCAAATACTGCCTTAACCATACAATCATACTTATTCATGCCTCATCGCACACAGGGGAGTGCACAGTTACTTAAACAGGTCTAGACCACAAGATTATCTGACAAGACGTCAGCTTAAATTT